GGCTCCGTGCTTGTCGATTTTATCAGAGTTCTTGATGCGATCCACTGCCATGTCAAGTACTCCAGGCTGCACCCGGAGACGCGGGACCCTCGAAGTGGCAAGCTGGCGGACTGCAGCATTCTCCTCGTCCCATTCCGCTGGAGGGATGCCCCACCTTTTGCGGAACTCGGCATCGACCAGGGCAGCGCAAACGGAGGGATCGTACACGACGGCGCCAGCCTGGATGAAACCCCTGACTGCTGGGAGAGGCTTGCGAGACAACCAAACTTTCTCCCCTCTGAGACACTTGATGGCCAGAGCCTGCTTCTCCGAAGATTTCCGGGTGATCTTCAGGGCCCTCAGGAGGTCCTTGCCTATCTCGACGCGGCGGACTTCGTCGAGACATGTTCTCAATCTTCTCCTGATGGCCTTGACCCACAGGGGCTCATGGCAGGCTCTGCGGACACTAGAGGAACCCACCCGATGAGTGGCAGAAACAATATCCGCCACCGACTGCTCCCAGTATCCGAACGATTCTGAGAATTCCGGCGGCTCGTGGTACCGCACCTCGCAAGATGATGGTTTTTTGCAAGTCGTCGTGCCGTACAAGCTCTGAGCATACAGGGTAAAGCTGCGACGCAACGCGGGCGACAGAGAGAACGCACTGAGGCCGCCACCTCGGAGGTCTCCGGCACCTCCTCCGAGGCTCCACCATCCAAGCATCAACGGCGAGAAGCGCATGATCTCCCGGCACTCCCTGCCACCGAATGAATGCGTCCTTGTGGAGGCCTGTAGGTGCTGCTGCATGGTCTATGTTTGCTGGCTGCCCTACTTGGGCCCCCGACGGCCTGCGAGTGCAATGCAACGCTGGGTCCGCCTCGAAATAGCGGGGCGGGGCCCACTGGAGACCCAAACCTCGAAGCGCACCCGTGTACAGGGACCATGTCTCCTGCCAAGGCTTCTTGGAATCCGCATTCACATCGCCCAGCCAGAACAAAGACGAGTTGCGCGGCCTCCGGCGCGCGAGGCCCTGAGCATCGGCCAAGCTGTCTTCAAAAGCGGCGCCGTGCGCCAAATGGCTAAAAAGAACAGACTTAAGAGAAACTTGTTTACTATCAGGCGAAGTGTGAAAAAGGTCCACGCGAATAGACCGATCCCCGCACTCCACGTCCTTCAATCGTGCCCTTGCATGCTTGTGAATTAAAAGAGCAAAAGCCCACGAGCCCTCGCCTGGGTAGTGGCGCACGCACGCGTGACCACCTTCAAACTCCCGGAGGATGCCGTCGCTGGGATCGCAACGCCGGCGGTGGTCGACCTCCAGAAGGGCGATGAGCCCCCAGGATTTCAGCTCCAGGAGCCCCAAAATTGAATTAATGTCTGCATCCGTGCCCCCCTTGCCCTCGATGTTTAAAGCGCAGGCCAGGGCAGGCACGTGGGAAGGGCCTCACTGCTGAAGCGCCCGGGCAACCGTGTCGCCCAGAAGCTCCTTGACCGGCGACGCCGCCTGCACCTCCCACAGGAACTCGCCCGCCATCAGCCTGCCCACCTTCGCGTCATCCAACCAGACCGCACGGGTGCGCTCGCAGAAGACGACGTTACGACCCTGAAGCTTCGTCCCCACCTCCTCCTTGAGCTTACCCCACTGCTTGCCTGGCATGCGCTCCTCCCTCGTGGAAATGGGGCCCATCCAAATCTTCCTCCCCCCATGGCCGTCCAGGAGCGCCTGCTTGACGGTGTACGCGGTCTTCTGCCCCACCTCCACCGTGCTGAACTTGACCTCCACGAGGCTTCCATACGCGTACGGGGCCTTGAGGTCCATGGGGTTGTCGGTGCCAAGGTTCCTCAGAATCTCCCGCGCACGTTGCTCGAGCTCCGGCGCCTTCGTGTTCCAGCCGAGGTTGGTCATGACAAAAACGTCGCGCTCCCCACGCGGGACGCCAGCCCATGGGGGGAGCCTCCGTGCCTGGCGCGCATCTCCGCCGGCGTCTGCGGGCACCCGCACTTTCTTCATGCCCTCGATCTCCGCCTGCAGCGCCGTCTGCTCCATCTGCAGGGTGGTCACCGCAGCTTCGAGATCGGCCGTCCGCGTCTCAGTATCGTCCTGCCTCCCCTCCACCTTCCCGATCCTCTCCCCGTGGTCCCGCACAGTGTTCGAGAAAAGGGTCATCTCGGACCGGAGGCCGTCCACATTGGCGTTGAGGGCCGTGAACATCCTCTTCATGAATGCCCGGTCGCTCTCCTCCGTCTCCTCCTCCACCACGGGGGCCCCCCTCGCAGCCGCGCGGCCAGGCGGCCGGACAGCCTCTCCGACCGGTGCCCCAGCCCCGTCGCCTGGCATGGGAGGCCCGGCACCGGGCGCTGCCGCAGCGGGAGCCCCAGGGCCCGGCGGCGCGAATGCGAAGCCAGCAGGCGCCCCAGCCCCGGCAGGGGACCCGACGGGCGTAGGCAGTCCCCCAATCCCCTCATCCCCTGAGGGGCACTCCGCGAACTCCCTGTCGTCATCGAGGGCGCCACCACCGTAGATGTCACGACGTACGTCTGCAGCACCACGGCCATCGACGTCCTCCTCCTCCTCCATGCTCTCGTCCGCAGCTGCCCGGCCCTGCTTGCGCCTCGCTGCCTCTCCACTCAGCGTCCCAGAGGCTGGCGGGCGACGGCGTCTGGCAGGCCGGAGCGGGGTGGCGGCCGCCCAGGGGTCCGCAGCAGCCAGCGGGTCTTCTCCATGTAGTCCTCCAATGCCTTGGATCACCGAGGGCGGCGCTGAGCCAGCGGCCGCGGGAGAGGCCGCGGCAGCCGCTCCGGCTGAGGGTGCTGACTCGGCGCCTGCTGCTGCTGAGGCTGCTGAGGCTGGGTCTGCTCCTGCTCCCTCTGCTGGATGATGCCCTCGACGACCGCCAAGAACTCCCGGAGCTGGTTCCTCAGGAGCCGGAGGGCCGGGAGGTCGAACTGGACCGCTGCGAGCATGTGGCGCGCCCAGTCCGGGAGGTGAGCCCGTCCCATGAGCCCCCCGCGCCTGCCCCGGTGATCGCGGCGGCGCGGGCCACGCGACCGGCTGCGCGCCTGCGCGTCCATCCATGTCCACCCTGGGCGAGACCGCACACAGGGGCTGCACGGACGAAGTCGGGGGCGAGACGCACGCCCGACGCGCGGAGACGGGGATGCTCCGGGCGAGACGCACACAGGAGCTGGGAACGTTTGGGCTGGGGCGAAACGCACCTCAGCACAAAAATCTTCCCTCAGCACAAAAATCTTCCCTCAGCTCAGGAGGAGGGGGAGGAGGAGGAGGAGGAGGAGGAGGAGGAGGAGGAGGAGGAGAACGAGGAGGAGGAGGAGAGGAGGAGGAGGAGGAGGAGGAGGAGGAGGAGGAGGAGGGGAGGGGGGAGGGAGGAGGGGAGGAGGAGGGAGGAGGAGGAGGAGGAGGAGGAGGAGGAGGAGGAGGAGGAGGAGGAGGAGGAGGAGGAGGAGAGGGAGGAGGAGGAGGTGGAGGAGGAGGAGGAGGAGGGGAGGAGGAGGAGGAGGAGAGGAGGAGTAGGACGAGGGGAGGAGGAGGAGGAGCAGGAGGAGGAGGGGAGGAGGAGCACGAGGAGGAGGAGGAGCAGGAGGGAGCACGAGGAGGAGGAGGAGGAGGAGGAGGAGGAGGAGGAGGAGGAGGAGGAGGAGAAGGAGGAGGAGGAGGAGGAGGAGAGAGGAGGAGGAGGAGGGAGGAGGAGGAGGAGGAGGAGGAGGAGGAGGAGGAGGAGGAGGAGGGGGAGATAGTTTCGGTTGCCTTCGCCTTTTTGGGAACTCCGCATTCGGGAGGGGCCGTGGATCTCAACGGCCTCCATCGGCCTACTGACCGAGAAGAAAAGCGACCCAGACATGCGACATTCTGATTTTTCGATACGGGGTCCCTGGAAGTCCCGACCCTCTCCTCGGGACCAGTTTCTTCACTCTGAGTCGTTTTTCGACGGTCTCGAGGCCTGGCGAGGGTCCCCCCGAGGCCGAACATGGCCAAAAACCTCCCATCCTGATTTTTTGACGGCGCGATCATGTCTGGGGAGGAGAGGCATGGCGATGGGATCCGAAGCGAGCGCGCAGGAACGCAGTAAGACAATTTGCGCAGCGCAGGGCTACGCCTCCCCTGCGGATTTCCGCCGGCAGGGGTGGCGGGGTCCCAAGCATCAGCGGGACGCCCTCGTTTTCACATTTCTCCTCCCCGTCCGTGCCCAGACATGAACGCGTCGGAAAAAAATCCGGACTGGAGGTTTGTTGTCATTTTCGGCCTCGGGGGGCCCTCGCCGGGCCTCGGGACCGTCAACAAAACGACTCAGGATGAAAAGCCGGTCTCGGCGAAAGGGCCGGGACTTCCAGGGGTGCCTCCGCAGATCAGACCGCGGTCTCGTCCAGTCTCCGACCGGCTCGCGTCCGTTCCCGACCGGTGGTGCAGGCCGTAGGTTGTTCTCAGTGGGCGTGGTCGCGAGCTCTGGCTTCCCGGGTCGTGCCGCGCCGGCTACGGCCCCACACGCCTATAGGCGCGAGGCACCGGCCGAGTCCCCGTCCCCAGGCGTCAACATTCCGAGCTCTTCACAGCCTCCCTCCCCGCGGAGCGGAGCAGCACGCCATCAGCTCGCAGGGCATGGCGGGCCGGCGGGGCCGCCGCCGCGACACGCTCAGCCAACGTTCCTGATTGTATTCTGTCGGGGAAACGTAAGACTCGAGCAAGCCGGAACTCGGGTTCGCCGACGTTTTTTGACGAGCGAGTCCTGGAATTGGACGGTCCGATTTTCGTGGGCTGTTTGCAGCGGGAGCTTGCGTTAAATTTCAGATCGGGTCTCGTCATTTTCATGATGGCCCCGTCAGGCCAACCCGAGCCCCCCGTATCCGAGTCTTACGTCTCCCCGATTCGGAGCCGTGTGCGTGTTCTCCGCATGGGGCAGATGGGCAGGATGGACCAGGGAGGTTTGCAGAGGACGCAGAGCCACCATCACTTGACCCCATGCTGTGTCCCAGCCTCCCTCCCTTGCTGCACTCTTTACCGTCAGGCGACGACCCAGATCGCGAGCACATGTACGAGCATCTGCCTTTTGCAAGGGCCTTTGGGCGGAACTTCAAGAAGGTGGAAACGCTGGAGATGCTCGGCTTTGAAGACGTGGGGATCGCGCTGTTCCTGCCCAGCATGGCCATGCCGGAGCTGAAGTGCCTGCGCATAGGTGCGCGCCTTTCTGGCTTTCCGAGCGGGCGGATGGTCGTGCCGAACGGAACGCGCGAAAGTGCCCTCCCCAGGGGCAGCTCTCAATTGCAGACCCCTGGAGGCCGTGCTCCTCGGAGGAGGGTGTACCTCAGGAGGGGAAACAACACACAGACACAATTAATCGTCGATCCCCAGGAAAAGACAGGAGAATATGGGAAGTGGGGGGAAGACAAAAACCCAGAAAATATAGGAAAATCTGGGGAGTCATTTTATTTGTGTGTATTTAATGTGTGTGTGTGTGTCCTTGGGCCCCTTGAGTACCGATGAGGCCGAGGAGGGTCTGGGGTCCTGGGGACAGCGCTCATGATGCGCACATCTTCTGCCACCACTACCATGTGTAGGACGGGGGAGAATGGAGGATGAGGTCCTCCTCCTCCTCCTCCTCCTCCTCCTCCTCCTCCGCCCCCTTTCTCCTCCCTCTCCTACACATGGTAGTGGTGGTAGAAAATGGGCCCATCAGCTCAGCGGCAGTCCGGCGCTGCTGGAAGCTGGAAGCTCCTGGCGACGCGGAGCCGAACGGTGGCAAGACCCGAAGTTCACCACCCACCAACCCACCCCAACCCAACGCGAAGGCTCCGATTTGCCCTCCATTTCCAGTGAGGGGGGGGGGGGCGGGGGGCATGGGAAAAACACACGTCAATCCCATACCCCCCCCAACCCGAAATTCGGGGGTTGGGGTGGTCTGGCAGGTAGTCAGGAGGAAGGGGCAGCACACGGGGGACGAAGTTTCGAGGTTCGAGGTTCTCGTGCGCTTTCGTCGCTGCTCGGCGGTCTTCGAGCCTCGGGAGGCTCTCCAGCAGCCGCCGAGGGCTCTGTGGGGGCGCCCCGATCGTCCCGAACGGCCGCCAGAGAGCCGAGCCACGACTCGAAGGCCAGGGGGGGGGGGCACGACGCACTGCACCGTCGAGGCCTGACTCGAAGGACACAAACGCGGCACACATACGGTAGGTTCGCGTCGTGTCGACAGGCGGCGACCCCGCCGCGGGCGTTCAAGGTTGAACGCCGCCAGTGGCCCAGAATCGGCATATATATGGAACGATCGAGCGATCGACAGTCCCCGATCGTTCAAGGTTGGACGATCCACGCGGAGTCAGAAACCAACGCCGGGGTCGTCACGACACGAACCTGACGTAATTTCTCCGAGGTCCGCGCGGATCACTTAGATCGACGATGGACACACCCGGCGGCGCCTCCGGCGCCGCCCCTGGCAGGCCAAACCCACATCCGCCTCTCCGTCGAGGTCCCCGGAAAGATCGATCCTCTGGGCGGTGGTGGTGGATGTGCCTCCCCGCCTCGCAAAAGCGGTGAAAAATTCCCCCTGCGTTGGCGTCGCAAGTGCGAGACTCCCAGGCTTCGCGATGTCCGGGGGCGGAAAAGAGGGGGGTGATGACTAGGGGGGGGGGGTATCATGGCGTGGGCCACGATATTTCCCCAGATTTCATGGCGCCTCTTCTTATTTCATTACGTCCCTGGCCCCCCCACTGGGCCGCGCACATGCCGCCCGTCATGATTTGCACCCCCCCCTCTTGGACACCCCCCTCTTGGCCGCTCCCGAGATATCTGGGTGTCGCGCCGCGTCGGATCGATTGCCAAGCTTCCCGAGACTTCCAGGCATTCTCGTCGCGCAGGGTCGAGTGCCCGCACCTCCGTGGCGTCGTGAGAGCATCGTTACGTGCGTTTTAGCGGGGAAGGTTTTCGGGCCCCTGGCCAATCAGCACACAGCCTCTGACGAGAAATCAAATCGCTCACGTGTGTAGGTCGGGGTTGAGCAGAACTTTCGAGGAGCACCAGGCTCTCGCTGAGGTCAGCGAGTGGCGTGGATATGCTCCACATTTTCTAGTGGGCGCCGTTGTTGATTCGGAGCTCCATGGAAGCACGAGCCAAAAGGTGGTCGCACTAAATTGCTTCTCTTGGCACCCTTCGTCTGGGGAAGGTTGACCTCTGCGTCTGAGTTGGCTTGCGTTTCAAGGGACCTCCTTTCTCTTGTGCGTGTTCCCGTGGGGCCCGCCGACCTCCTGTTTCCCTTCCCCCTTCCTACTCCATCGCTCCCGCCGTCTCCCCTCTCCTCTCTTCTGCGTGCACCTGTGAGCTTATGATTTCTCTGCCCGCTTTCTATGCCGCTTCGTTGCTCCGCACACGGCGCCGCACACGCTCCCAGCTGCCTCCAATTGGGGCGTTCCACATGGGCCTCGCCTTCGAGGATCGAAGGGGTTGGAATCTCTTCCGTGGCGGAAGGCGGTGGAAGGGCGGCGGAAGGTCGCCAGAAGTAAATGAGGCCGCCTCCGCCGGTGGAAGGCGGAAGGCCGGCGGAAGGCGGCGGAAGTAAAAAATGCGCCCCAAAGAGATGAACCCATATTTGGGTCCAGGGTTTCAAGAACCCGCCAGTTAGAAGGGGAGGCGAGGAAAGAAGTCTCCAGTTGGGGCGCTGCAGACGCCCATGGCACAGGAGGCCCTGGTGCTCTTTCTCCACCGTCACGGCCCCAGGCTGACAGAGCTAGCGGGGCGCTTAGTGCTCGTGGCGACAATCGGACGTGATGGTGTGCGATAGTCTTAAGTCGGGCCTGTCCCTCTACAGGGGGAATGCTCAAAAACAGTATGTTTAAACATTATGTTTAAACATTTGGGGCGCATGTTTTTGGTATTGTCCACGTTTTCGCCCAACATTCCCCTGCGGGGGGACAGAGATAGTGCCAGAGATGGACACCCGACCTCTGCTCTCGGGAGCGGCCCGCGGCGCCCCGGACGCAAGCAGCACGACGTTGCTCGCAGTGTGTTTCGTGTGCTCTCAGAGCGTGAATTACCTACCCCGCTTTCGCTTCCAGGCAAAACCAAGCCATACCACGCGCCTCCTCGTCAAGCGGCCTGACCAGTACAGGCCGTAGTTTGGCAACGTTTGGTATCTCTTGGAAGCGAGGGTGGTCAAAAGCGAGGTAGGTTTGGTTTCCCCCTATGCTCGGGATACGAGACGGTGCCTTCCCGGTGTGAAGGGTGGTTGTCTGGACGCCTCTCGTTTGCCAAAGCAAGTGCCCCCACCTTCGGAGGGATGAGAAGCGATACCAACACCACCAGGGGGCCCACCTTCAGCGAGGAGGTCCACGATGTTTCCCCGAGCGAGAGTCTGGGGACGTCTCGAGCGAGAGGGGGGGACCACACCACCAGGTAGATCCCCCTTGCCTCCGCGCATCTCCTCGCCCTGTTGGTGTTGGTGTCGCCTTTCCTTGTTCCTACCCCCCCCCCGAAACGACTTGAAGATGCATTTCGCTGCGTTGGAGCGCTTGTGTGAAACCTCAGGGGCGGTACGCAGATGGTGCCACGTTCAGCCTGGAGCACGATGAGCATGAAGGTCTTGCAGACCCGTGTCGGCCATAATGTTTCAGACTCTCTGTGTGTGTTTGCTGCAGGGGGCCATCGGCTCAGGCGAAACGCATCGCTTCGCGCCTGGAACGCAATGCGCAGCATGGTGCCTCTGAGCTTTACACCGGGCAACTGGAAAGGATGAACAGACATTGATGCCGGAGGCCAGCAGCAGTATGAATCACGTTGCCTCCCAGTGTGATTTAATGGCCGCGAGAGTGAGCTCACTTTTTGTTTGGCCCGCCCCAGGGGGTCGCAGAGGAAGCCGTTTTCCAGATGCTTCTTGTGGTGTTTGGTGTTGCAGCAGCTGCATCAGAGCAAGCTGCAAGAAGCAGCGCAGCCAGCACTCACACTACTAAGCAAGCCATTCGTCACACAGCAACAGTGGACACTGTCAATTACCACGAACATCCGCAGCATAACGTACAACACCGTACAGCACACGTTGAGTCAACATCTTCCAAGTGCGCCAAGCAGCAGGCGCGCTTCCTGTTGTATCTGGGAGAGACGACGGAAAGCGCGAAGCGATTACTTGTATACAGGAGAGACTGAGAGCGTCAAATCCCGTTCGGGCAAGCTGCTGTCGGATTCCTCGGGTAACCTTTTGGGCTTCCAGGCGCTTCAATATTGGCAGAGCGGGCCACCGTGGAAACAGAATGCGACCTAGGCGGGTCCCAGTAGGCCCCGAAGAAGGCCTCGAAGGCACCCAAGACGGCCAAACAGGTTTCAAGGACGACCCAAGGGGCCCGCAGAGGCGCCAACAAGTTCACGAGAGGCCTTGAGAGAGGCTCCAATGGGCTCCAAACAGCCAACACCGCTGCAACGCTTGAAGATGGTCTCGATGCTTGTCTCTTCCCCAGAATTTCGGCTTCAGGACCAGAGTTTTCGCGACCGCGTCCAGGGACGCGCTACTGCCTTCCTGCGGAATTTCCTTTTTGGCTTCAGAGGACTTCGGTGTCGTCGAAGATGGCCCCAAACACGGCCCACGAGAGAGAGAGAGAGAGATGGAAGATATCGAGAGATAGAGAGAGACAGAGAGAGAAAGAGAGAGAGAGAGAGAGATGGAGAGGGAGCGACAACGTCCATGAGATTGGCCTCGGGGGCTCCTCGACGGCCCAACGGGGTCTCTGGGGGGGGGCCCAAGGCGGTCCACGCGAGCCCCAGCACGGCCAAGCGGGCCGCACGGACGGCGTGAAGGCAAGCTCGGAGAGCGTGCAGAAGGGGCCCATGCCGCTCCCCGCCCGACAGGCTTCAAGTCGGCCCCCAGAGATGCCTTCGAGAAGCCCCCGAAGCGACCAGAGAGGGCCATGCGTCTGCAAGCCTGCTGGGGTTAAGTCGGGCGTGTCTCTCTACAGGAGGAATATTCAACAGTACCCAAAACGTAGTCTGGGGACGATGTATTGACTATGGTTGATTGTTGTTGGTAATGCTTCTGACCATGTGTGAGTTTTCTCTCCAAACCCGCCTGCAGGAGTACATGCCCGACCTAAGTCTAGGAGGTAGTCTAGGCGGCTCCTCCTTCCTCCTCGGTGACTTGATGTGATTTTGCTGGTCGCGCCTCTTGGCGCCAAGCTGCGACCGATCAGGTCGCCACGGATATTTCTCCATCGCATCTCAAGGATTTGCGGTGCGCGTGCCCGGTTGTGCTCGTTTGTTCGGGAATCGCGCGATTGGGATGGCACGTTTGAGGGGCAGCGGATTCTTTGATCTGGCTCTCCTGGTTGTTCTTGTGGAGGAACGTCCTGGGAGGACCAAACAGCTGGCCAGACGGTTCCAAGACCACCCGCCAAAATGGACTTGTAATCATACTCAGGCGCGCCATTGTTCAAGGAATTACTTATGTTGCATCGTCGGGGAACCTCGCTTGCACCCACAACTTTTCCTTTTCTTGTGCCCGACGCGGGCTCGATGCGGACTCGATGCGATTTTTGCGTGGATTCGACGATGGGCCGACACGGATTCGACACGGATCCGACGAGTCCGACATGGATTCGACACCGACCCGACGCGGATAGGGCCGAGAGGGGACAGACAAGTTCTTCCGAGGATGCAACATGAAGGTTGTCTCCCAGACGGCCCGCAGTCTGAGAAGGTCTTCAAGATGATGCCCTCGGCGTCGACCCATCAGGCTCCAATGGGTGCCCGCAGAGGCCCCAGGATAGTTCAAGGCAAGCCCGTAAGAGGTTCCCCCCCGTTTCCAGCTCCATACGGCTCTGAGGTTTGAGAGGGAGGGAGGGAGGGAGGGAGGGAGATGCCAAGACTGGTCCCAGGGGCTTCAAGATGGCTCGAGGGCCCCCCCCGAGTCCCCAAGAGGCCCTCGGAGGTGGCCCTCGAAGCGGCCCTCGAGGTTGGCCCGGGATCACTTCAAGACTACTGCCCGGGACCAGCCCGAAGATACCCACTGAAGGCCCTCATGCCTTCCAAACTGGCCCTCGGCATCGCTCGGACGTGTGCATTTTCTCTCGGCGAGAACCATCGAGGACCATCCTGGACAATCGAGCAAGAAAAACACGCACGAAACCGAAAAATGCACGGGAAATGGACGTCCGAGCGATGGCCAGGGCACTGGAACTGGAACTGGTGAAAACGCGAAGCGTAAAGCGATGGCCAGGGCCCCACCAGGCCCGAATGGAGCCCGAGATGGCTTCAAGGGAGCCCCAGACAAGCCCAGGAGAGCCTTGGGATGGCCCCGTGCTCGCCCCCGTCGTCTTCCCGACGCTCGCCGCTCCCTCGGGCAACAGCTTGGGCACGCGCGCCATTCGTGACCTTGCTTGTTTCTCTCGTGCCGTCGGTCGGTCTCCCCCTCTCTCGGCATCCCACATGCCCTCCGTCCCTCATCCTCTGATTTCTGTCCTCGCCCCGTCCTCTTGACACCCACACCCATGTCCAAGCCTTCCTCGTCCGGCTCACAGGCTGCATCATCATTTTTACATGTGTTGGTGAATTGTTCATCCCAGAGGCGTTTGCATTAGCAGTTTAGGCCCCTAACAAGACCCGGGAGCCCGAGAGGCAGCTTGAGCCCATGAGTGACTCGAAGAGAGGTTCCGAACTGCACTTTCGGGTCACTGGACAGCGTGAATCACATGCATGCGCGTATTGTTTCCGTTGTTGTGTTGTTCCCCATGTTTTTCAGCTTCAGGTTGCTTCGGGAGCGCATTAGGTTAAAGATAACGCAAACTCGTACGACAACGGCTGTAAGACAGCACCAAACGGACTTCAATCAGTTTCAAGAGGACGTGCGGGGAGGGCCAGAGGGTCTTGTGAACAGACCGAGCGCGTTCTGACGGGCCCAGAGGTCACACAGAGGGCTCCAAGTCGGCTCACGATCATTTTCCAGGGGCCTTCAAGACGGCCCAGAAAGGCTCGAAGGTAGCCGGTGGATCGCATGAGAGGGCCCCTGGAATTCAGAAGGCCCCAGGATTGGTCTGCACGCCACATGAGTGTGGAACTATCGCACTACAGACCTCAAGACAGGCCTGGCTCAATACTGCCTCAAGATAGTTTCGGGTAGCCTGCATCAGCAAACCAGCGTGTAGGCAAGAGCATGGTGGACGCGGCTGGTCCGCCAGAGGCCAGGTCAAATTTTTACGCAAGTGTTGCTTTCGCAGCTTCAGACACAGCCCGCGCGTGCCAGTCCCTTGAGGACCTCAGGCTCGACGTCATGGCCGTCTTCGAGAAGCACCAGGAGATCTGGCTGAAGCCCACCAGCTTGCCTCAACACCCTGGCCCTCCAACGCTGGCGCCCACCGACAAGGGACAATACCTGTTCCACCCTGTAGGCATCTAGCAGACGCCGAGGACCCCTCGGGGCAGCGCCGAGACGGAGCAACACCTCTCACGTCCTGCCCCGTTGCCTAATCATAGGGCGAGTAGGACCTCTCGGGGCAATGCCGAGACGGATCAAGACCCCTCCCGTCCTACCCCGCTGCCTAATCAGAGGACGAGTAGGACCTCTCGGGGCAGCGCCGAGACGGAACAACACCCCTCCTGTCCTACCCCGATGAGTAGCCAGAGGACGAGCGAAGCTTCGAGGATAAGCTGGGGGAGTGCGGACATGCCGGCCCCCATGAGAAAATTGAAGAGGGAACATAATTCTTTCATGACCGAGGGCAAACATCCAAATTGGATGCGTACTTTGGTAGA